GGAGCCCTGCCTGACATCCGTACCCACCGGACCCAGTGGCAGGGCTCTGATCCCTCGCCAGGTGGCGTTCCGCCTGCCAGGTGGCGTTCCGCCTGCCAGGTGGCGTTCCGCCTGCCAGGTGGCGTTCCGCCTGCCAGGCGGCGTTCTGTTTGCCTCCTCTGGAGAGCATGACACGTCTGTCAAGCCCGTACCTGGTGATGACAGTTTGTGGCGGCAACCTGCGCCTACCACACCTGCCCTGGCAATAACGGCAAGGGCGGTGACGGTTATGCCAGGTATGACCAGGCTCCAACATAAAAGAACTCTAACTCGCACAAAGAAGAGGTATTGAAGCTTAAGCACTCTGAGCCCTCTTATTCTCTACTCTCTTTGAGATTTTCTCCAATTCTAACTTAGCCATCGGAGTGTTCCCACCGGGATAATTCCCCCAAAACCTTTCACTTCCTCCTCCTCTCAGATGCCATCCTTTCCCACCAGAAGCCACGTCACAACCARCTAGAAGTGCCCAGATCGTGCAACATCAGGTATATTGGTGTGTGTCTATTGTGAATCCCATTTTAGTGATACGAGTGCTATCTAGTAATTATGCTTGAATCTTGTCTGGTAGATTGATTGGATACAATTTTTTTTCGATTTCCAATGCATAGTCATAAACACAATGGATGCACATGGCGATGCCAAACATCGCCAAAACCTATGATTTTTTTTTTGTTTATAAAATTAGGACTAAAACCTTGCTCTTCAGTTTTTGTAAAGTGCATATTTTCATCTGATTATTTAATATCAAGTTCAATAAATCATATAATTGCAATACCAGAAATTTGTTTTTAGAAAACCATTGCCTTGATGGTATCAAAAACGTGTATTGTTTTTTGAAACAAATTGAAAGCGTGTTTATGTTTCAAAACAAAAACATAATTCACTGTTCATAAACATAATAAAAAAAAAGCATGAACTTATTTATTGTGTAATTTTCAAAAACATTCATGTTGTAACAAACTGAGCCAAGCCGAACCCACTTTAAACCTTTTTTTGGTAAATAAACCCACTGAGAAACTTGTTACAATGTATAGTTGGAGATTGTGGATGCATGATTAACAAATAAATCCGGGAAAAACTTGAAAACATGGAAAGTTAGTTGATAACACATACTCCAAGTTTTGAAATCCTTTTTTATAAAAAGAAAAGCAAAATACGAACCTGAATAAACTAAGCCCTTGCAAACACAAGTCTAGATTGTGTCCACGTGACGTACAAATGTTCTTAATGTTTGGTTTGATAGAAAATAAAGAGATAACCAGAAAGTTAAGGAACCCTGTGAAAGCTCTTAAGGAAAGCAAGTGGATGTTCCTCCATATTCCACAAATCTTTTCAAACAGTCCATATTCTCTCCCACTATCTCTTTGCAATCAAAATTGGCAGACAGCTTTTTTCTTAGGAAAATAAAGGGTAAGAACCTTTCACAAAGCCTCAAAGGTTAGCTCTAAATTTCCTTCATCTCATTTTCAACAATTTTTCAGTGGACCCAACATCAAAATCTCATTCATCCATTACCAAACCACTCCAGAGATAGGAGCAAACAAATACATATAAAGAGAGTGACAAAGGCTTGTTCCTTTTGGGCTTATGAAACTTGACCCCCTCTCCAAATTCTTATGTGGAGATTTTTCAAGTGAAAAACAAAGAGTCAAAAACTTCCCAATACAGAGAGGAAGGAAAGAAACATGATACAGATTGTTACTAGTCTACCCTAAGAGTGAAGGGGGTGGGTGTATAGTAAAAAAAAAAAGTAACAAAAAAGGGAGAGAGAAGGCATTAAGTTACACTGAATGTTACATAGGGACAAAGGGGGAAATTAGGAACTTTCTGCTATGCGCAATTAGGGTTCTTTCCAGGACCACCATAGTAGAAGTAGCTGCCCCAATCACCATTGTTGCCATTTTGGACATCATAGCAGTTGGATTGCTCAGTAAAGGTGCCAATCCCTTTAGGAGCTTTTAGATTATTGGACCCATCAACAATCTGGATATTCCTGAAGTAACTTGCCTTGCCAAAGCCTTCTTCAGGAAAATGGCCACTACCCATCTGTGTTGAGGTGTGCTCACCATCTGGTTCTGAATTCACAACCTCTCCTCCCCACTCAATCATGGAGGCACTGTCGGCTAAGTACGAAAATAGGAAGGAGGGCCAGTACCCCAACACATAGTCATTCCCAAATTGCATCCACCAGTTCCCCTCCTTTGGGTCCTACAGAAATTCCCAGAATTAAAATAAGCACAATTACTCATGACATAACTAAATAGTAAACAAATTATACGCAGTAAAAAAAGGCATGCAAAGATGAACAGGCGTCAGAGATTCTCTGGCCCTTCTGTTTCTTTTAAATTTTTTTATGGGTATTACTTGTTTTTTCTTGTAATTTTTCAGTCAATCTTTTCTCCTTTGGGTTGTGCTGGCAGCTGCTGGGTACTTGGGTGGTTTGGTTTTTACCTTCCAGACAAGTATACTGATATCATATTGGGAACCACGATAACCAGACACAGGGAAGATGCTTGCACCCATCGCTATTTCACTGTTGATTTGAATGAAGCCTGAGCAGAGGAGGTTGTAACAGCCTGTGGCCTGATAGGCATCACTCTGCATTTTTTTAGAAAGATGAAGGAAACTCATTAGAGGATGAAGAGAGAGTAGTAAAGATTGAAGTGACCCAACTCAAAGAAATGATGGAAATACGGAATACTTACAGTCCAGTAGGTGAAGAGTCTTGTGTTGTTGTCTCCATAGAGATCTGGGCTTACCTGGTTTTATGGGTAAAAGTTCAATCAGAGAAATCAATAAGGAAGAAAAAATATAAATGTCTGTTTCTAGTTTTTCTTTTCAAAATATTTTATACAGTGTGAACTATGAAGTAATAATACCTGCCAACCAGCTTCAATGCTGTTGAGATCTTCACCAAAAGAACCTCCTAAGATCCAGAGTTGAGATAAACTGAACTCATTAGGCTGTTGGATTTTGGGTTCCCAAACGTTAATGGTTGCTTTTGCTCCATAGTACTTATCTCCTTCAACATAGGCTATTGCATGCTAATCACTCCGAAAAAATAATAAAAAAGAGGTGTATTAAGAAAAGGTGATAACAAAGCAAAACAAAAGCAGATGGAAAGAAGTTCTTTTTTCCTCTCTTTTCCTTTTTTATTATTCCTTTCTTTTTTTTTTCTTTACCTGATGGCCACTTTCATTAATCAGGTCAGGATCTGCAGATGTTGGTTTGGGGATGGTTCTGTGTTTCTTCTTGCCAAATCTTTTGACTGAGCTAGCTCTCAGGACATCATCTTTCTTTGTTCTCCTTATGGGTATGGTGCCCTCTGGACACCTTCCATTAAGGTGCCACAGCTGAGTAATGGTCTTTGGTCTGTCTCTGGGCCTTGAAGCCACTTTGTTTTCATCATAAAGCCCTTCTGGATGAAAATTAGGTCTCATCTGGCAAATTCATTGAACAAGAAAAGGAAAAAAAAAAACATCAGCCCATGAGGAGGACGCAAGTCTTGAAAAATGAGAAAGAAAAACTAGAAAGTCAAAAGAAAATCAGACCTGAATTGTGTGATTTTTCAGGAAAGGATGGTCAAAAGCAGGTTGATGAGAAATATGGACACAGTCGATTATATCTCCATCTGGGCTCTGTCACTCGACCAAAACCAGAAAAAAAAAACAACCCATGAGAAATCCAATACTCATTGCTAATAATACCCAGAAGATTTGTTGATAAAGAAAAAAGAAAAAATAATAGGATCAAGAAAATAAAACAAAAAGTGTATAGAAAGTACAGAAAAAAGTATAGAGTGATCATGTTGAAAGGGAGAAAAAATCAATGGAAAAACCCATAATAAAAGAAAAGCAAAGAAGAAAAAGAAAAAGGGATCAGCAATATAAAAAAGAAGGCAATGGGAGAACCCATTAGAGAGAAATGGAGGTTACTTAAAATTAAGAAAAAAAATAAGGAAATAAAATCAACCTGGATGCTTTTCGCGGCGGGTTTGTTCAAACGCCTCAAGTGCTTCTGAACCTCCAGCTTCTGTCGCGAAATGCGCATACCAGGTGCGGCGCACGATAACGGGATAAGAACCATGAAGCAAAGTAGGAGTATCAGCGCCCTCCTCCTCCTCCTCCTCCCGCTGCTAAACTGCACCGCCATGATAACCTTGAATGGCAGCAACCCCACCCTCCTCAACTCCGGTGAGCCGAACCCAGATGAAAACGCCAGACTAACACAACCCACCAGCTTAATGCAGCCAAAAAGCCTCTTCTACCATGGATGGGCTTGAAGCATTGAAGCCTTGAAGCCGATATTTTCAACTCTTCTTGTCCACTAAACAACACCACTACTCTGCTTATCCTACGCCCCCACCTCTCCCTCTCCCTCTCTCTCTCTCTCTCTCTCTCTCTCTCTAATCAGTAGTGGGAGGGTTTTGTTTCCACAAAAATCCAACAAAGCCACCGATGCACTGTTGCTACTCTCTCTGTCCCTCTCTTTCTCTCTCTACTTTTTCACACACGAGACAAGGGTAAATAAAAGGAGAGAAGGGGGAAAAACTGAGAAGATGAAGAAAAAAAATAAAGAAAAAATAAAAGGGAAAATTGCTGAAAAATAAAATAAACAATGTGGGGAAATGGGTCGGTTGAATTGATTCTCGATTGATCTGAAAACAGTAAAACACTGTACACAGTCGTTTGTCGTTTTGGGAAGATTGCTGTTGGAGACCTCGACCTCATCTTCTTTTTCTCTACCCCACTGTGTATTTACCTAAATACCCCTACCACCACGTGAACCTCTGGACAAAAACCATAAAAATTTGAACCCCAACGGTTATATATGGGATAGAGGGGAAAGACGGAAGCCCTCAACTCCTTTTTTTTTTTTACCTATCAAACCAAACACACCCTTAATAAATCTATCAGGAAATTCAGGACCCTAAACCTGCTTAGAGGTGTAAAACGGGGCAGTCCGGCACGGGCCAAGAGCACGGCCCGATACGTCATTTAATCATTTTATTATAGGTTTTTAATTTTATTTATTCATTTTATATTTTATTTTATGAAATAAAATTTTAAGATAGATTTTTTTTGAAATTGTTGTTGCAATCATTGAATTTGTGGTTTTTCTTCAAATTTTCATTATTTTTTTAATAAAAACAAAAAAGAAAGAAAATGAAATAATACAAGCCATTCCGACCTGGCCTAAGTGGCTGGTACGAGACCGAACCAACCCCACACAATATCCCACAGCATATCCCCACCATGCATTGAGAATATCTCCCGATGACAATATCCAGAATGATGATGTCATTATCGGGAGATATTCTCAATGCATGGCAGGGATGTACTGTGGGACGTTGTGGGGGGCTGATTTGAACACTCGGCTGGTGCAACCCACATTACACCACTAAGCCTATTACATGAACCAAGAGGTTTTCTCGTTCAGTGGTCAAACTGAACTCTCTACTATAAAAATTCAATCTTTTTATAATGGTGAAGCAGATAAAAATGCCTTATTGAAATAAGGAATTTTTCTTTATTTGGCATAAAGATAGGAAGCTAAAAAGACCTATGCCCTAAAAGCTCGGGAAGTCCAAAATTGTCAAAACTTTTCTTGTCTTTTGACATATAAAATATTTTGTTTAAAAACTATATACATCATAGTAGACACTAGGATACTTAATAATCTGGTTCTTTAAAAACAAGATCCCAAAAACTCATTACATCTTTTGGCCATCTAAACTATCCAAAAATCTTCCTTTTTAGGACTTGCAAACAGAATCACATGTATTAATATTGGTATTTCTAGATTAATCATAAACACAATTAAAATATTTTAGAGAGGTAAGTCTCTGTTTGGGAGTATTTATTTGTAAGCATTTATTCAAATAAGCACCTATTTTAAGCCAAGATAACACTAATAAGCACTTATGTACATTTTGGAAAAAGGCAGAATAAGTCTTTATTCCATAAAATAAGCCTGTTTTGAAGAATCCCTTCCATTTACTTATTTGTAAGCCCTTTTTTATCAGTTCTTATTGCATTTCTGGCCCATCATAGTCATAGCCTGTTATGCAACTTTCAAAATACCTATATTACCCATTTAAAAGAAACACTTTTTCACCAAACGCTCAGAATCACTTTTTTATTTATCTAATAAATACTCACAAGTCACAAGTACAAGTCAAATTTTTTGGGGTTTTTATAATTCAGTCCAACTAAGAAATCTGAGGGATAAGTGGACTGCAATTCACCTCAGAAATCTGAATTGCAGTTCCCTCCTAATCTATTAGTAGCCTTCCCTATAAACCACATTCTAATCGTGAATTTAGCATCAATTCATGAGCAGGATTCGGTCCAATTTTAAAAATCTTAGCTCCACCTAGGGGTGGACTGAACTATAAAAACCCCGAAATTTGAACTCCACCGTGCAGATGGGATAAATTCTGACCATGAATTAATGCCAAATCCACAGACAAGATGCAGTTATACAAGARGCTACTAATAGATTAAGAGAGGCTGTAATTTCAGATTTCTGAGATGAATTGAGTCTACTTATCCCAATTTTTTATTTTAAGGTTTACTATACGTGGTGGCGGACCGGCAGTGGCACTGTAATCGTAATTTTACAGGGGATGCGCTTCCCACAATTTTTACCCCTGAGGGCATTTTCGTCATTTTAGATGAACAAAGCCACACCGCACGCTCGCACTCGTCGTTTCCCACTCGCAAAAACCAAGACGTGGGGACTGTGAGGGAATCGTAACGGTCGGAGTTTGGATTACGTAACGCCGTTAACTATCGCCGTTATTTTCAGGTCTCACACTCTCACCCAGGTCGCACGTCGCAGGACACTAACGGCCAAGGCCAGTGCAGAAAGAATCCAAAGCGGAAAGCTAGAAAAAGTCATCATTGGATTTTTAAAAAACGCAGTGGTCTCTCTCTCTCTCTCTAAAAAAGCATCGCCCTTTCTCTCTCCACCTTCGTCGTGAGCACATGGGCGATAAGAATGAGATTCTGTGTATGGATGGTGCACGAGCCCATCTGATCCTGACTCACTGAGTCATTGAGTTAATCTTGTCCTTGTGCTTGAGAGTTGAGACTTGAGACAGTGACATCTTTCGTATAGGCCGGGGGAAGTGATCGCCACAGGTTTTTCTTCTGTGCCCATTTTCATCTGCACAGAAGTTTGTCAATTTGTCATTAAAATGGAATCTTCCATTTGTCAATGTCAAAGTACACCCGTGGCATTAGCATTTTCTGAAACTGGATCCACATCCACTGAACTTGAGAGGACCCGGCTTTGTAATCGCATAGAYCATACTGTACTGGATCCAAATTCTGAAATTGACGTTTGTGAGATCCAATTGGATTCTTCGGGTCGGATCTACCAGCATCCCTATCCAAATTCAACAGGATTAGATAACAATCTGATAACACCAACTGTTTCCCCTCCTCTAATGGTTGAGAATTGAGTATGGCCCACATAACAATCAGGAATGGAAATGGGTCGGGTCGATTAATTCAAGGTCCGGGGTGGGGGGCTCAATCTTAAGCCTCAAGTCTCAACTCTCAACCATTGTTCTTTCTTCCTTTTTGCTAAAGAAACATGCATTTTATCCCACTCTAGAACAGAGCACATTTCGGTTACCACCTCCCTGTGATTCCCTTTTACCTTTCCTTTTACCTTTGAGGCTTGAAGTTAAAGTTMTCTAATCACCATGGGTTGTTCATTCTTTTTCTGATCAAAAGAGGCTTTTGAGTCGTGTTCTAGCYATGATCTGCGACTCAAAAGTCCATGGTGTCATGATCTCCTTCACAATTCAAGTATATGTATATGCATGATTTTGGCCGGCCATTCGTCGCCGGTGGCATACTTAGGGATATTGATCTTTTGATCTATACCTGTTTATCCTGCCATTTGATCTCCCTTGGTTTCTGTTGATCTCTCAAAACCATGGTTCAAAGTATTGATACATATCATATGCAAAAATCAAATATATTGCAATTTGCGAATTTTTAAATGATGATACTCAAGTTTTTCAGTCAAGTATTTTAAAGATAAATATGTTAGGATGGATTCTCATGTCACCCTAAATCGTAATATATATGATTTTGATGACCCTTAACCAATAGTACAATACGTACATACATATCTGCATGCCACTAATTCATCAAATATGAATAAATGCTAAAAACAAATTCAACTACATTTAACCAGCTTACAGGGAAGCATGTGGTGGGTAAATTGTTTCACCTAAATAGCCATTTTGTAGCTAGAGTGACCAAAATTCTGCCTTGTTTGGGTCCATTAGACAGTACAGAGGTTGTTTACTGCTTTAGATCGCCATGAGTGGACATGGGTTTGCATGTTCATTTGTCATCAAGCCATCCAACGTCGACCGACTGTCGTTGATGGTGAAGAAGGTGGCCCCCTCAGGCCTCAGCACCCCTTTCACATGTCATCAGAACCCTACAGAATCAGTTAACAGGGAGAAATCTCTTGTGCATGATGGAGGTTGGTTTGAGCCACATTTGAACAAGGAACCCTAGCTAATATGGCTTTCTTGGTGACCACTAGAGGACCAAACCAAAGTGGGGACTGGAGCCCGAGAACAGAAAAGTAATTTTGGGATCAAATCCAACAAAGAACGTCCTTGTCAAAGGTAAATCCGGGCTGTATAGGAACATGGGTTGATGTTCAAAGTTGTAGAGGGTAGATAAAAGGTACACCTCTTTTCTCCTCCAAGAGAGAGAGAGAGAAAGAGAGAGATTGAAGGTCTATTTGCTTAAATTATGGGAAAATGATCCCACCCCACAATGGTATTCTCTGCCCAACTAAGTAGTTAATGGTCCAATGCCCATAAATATTTGGCCCACTTAGGACATTGATGTGTGTGTCTGTTTTTTCCCCCTTCCTGTCTATGGCCAAGTAGTGGGGAATCTTTTAAAATGATGTGGTTGAAGTCATTTATATTGTAGCAAAATCCAAGGGGGGAAATTTTTTGTTTTTCCTATGATAATGCAAGATTTTCTGAGGAGGTTTTCAAGCATTAAAAGGTGGTTGTTTAGTTGCTCAAATGACAAAACAGATCCACATAAAAAGTGTCTTTAGTTGATGCTTTATCTCATCCCCCCATCATGGTGAGAGCCAGACAAGTGTGTTTGGTTATGACCTAGTGGATGGCCTTCACACCTTTCCCCAATTCAAAGAAGACGAAGTCCCCAAGCTTGGTACAAGTCTCACCCCACCAAATGAAAAAAGTTGGAAACATTGGGGATGCCCAATAATCACTCATGATCTTTTATTTAACAAGAGGGAAAAAGTGGTATCTACACACACCTTTTTCCTTTGATGGGGGTTTCATATATTGAAATAGTTATGAGATATGGGTGGAACCCTTTTGCTGCTTTTAGTAGCCATGATTGTGCTATCCAGGTCTCCCCCAGTATTCATTCCTTAGATTAATGAGATGATGAACACCACAACATCCATAAGCTCAGAAGGA